ATTCTTCAGATAAACAGTGCACTCATCTGGCAAGACCTTCACTATCTTCGAGCTGCCCAAAACTAGTTTTAGGTTGTTTATTATCTTCTCGCAGGTACGTCAACATTTAGGCAATAATTTTATATTTTCTTTGGGGCTTATAGCCCGTTATTACTTGTATAACAGTAGAATAGTTGCAAAATACATTTAGAAAAAAATTGGATGTGTAGCTGATTGCAACCTATGCTAAGAAGAGAAAAGAGTTGGATGGAAAAAAAGGGGACCTACCGTTAAAACTATATCTACATTTAAATTTTGGTTGTACACATTAAAAGCTCTTTGTATACAATACCACACTATAAACTTGTGCGTAATGATAGGAGTATGAGGACGGTGGGATCATGACGTGAGTACATGCTAGACGGTAGTTGTGTGCTATGTGTGTGAGGATATTGGTTGGCATGTGATTGAGGCTCCACAAATTTCTAGAATACATAAAACAGAATATTTATTGTTAAATTTTATGGTTTGACAGAGCTTCCACAACGTTTTTTTTTCACCTTGGTCTACCAGTGCCCAAAATATAATGTGCTCAAAGACGCCTTCGCTGCACTACAGGATTCTGCGACGGATTTCTCAAGTATGATTTTTGATCAGGACTTGAACTCAAACGTGCTTTGATAGGACTATTACTTGTCTTATTTGCAGAATCTCATTGCTAAAAAATCACTATACCTCATTTTCTTTGAGGTGACACATTATCGTGATACTTCTTATACCTGGTGAGATATAATCTTGACAGATTTAGAGGGTAGAGTATTGTCCTTCCGATTATCTGACAAGCCCTTTATACATGGCCATGACTACTTAATTGTTAATAACGTTGATTTTGTTGGAGGTTGCTGGTGTAAATGAGAATGTCAACATCTGCCTAGATGGATTTCATAGTACAGTGGCTGTTGAGCTTGATGTTTATTCACCTACAAGAGCATGAGGTTTGCATCACCATTCGCCTGCATCTTGATTTAACTTATCATTAAAGAATAGGTGTTAACTACGCAATCATTTAGATCAATTTGCCAGTAGAACCAGCAACTTGATAAAACTTACTAAATACCGCAGTTACGTGCCGCATTAAAAAAATGATCCGTCATGGCACGCGATGAATTCTTAGTGACAGGTTTGGAAGGAAAAAGGAGTTCTGCCCATTAATGCACTCTCTGTCTGCTGATGCAGTGGCATGGCGTAGTACTCCTTCTATATATGTTTTGTATAACCTCATTTAAGTCATCAAAAGTTGTATAATTTAATTTTAAGGGCTTAATTCAAAGACATTGTGAATATTACAAGATATATAATGTTTTCTTAAGCTTTAATTAAATATACAAAAAAGTAATATTGTTCGTGATATATTTATTCATGTCAATCAGGAAAAGTTCTATTAAATAATCAATTAAACGGTCATGGACCTATTAAAAAACACAAGGATCAAGAAGAGAAAGTGAGTTGTACAAATTAGGAATACAACCATCTGTAGTTTGTAGTAACAAGGTGTAGTAAAAAAAATACTTGACATAACTTGCTAATATTTTAAAATTATACTTAAAAAGTTAAGCAATCGTCAACTTTTACATATTTACTTACATTATTTAAATTGTTACTGTTGAATTAAGGATAAACCATGAAAAAATTACGTTTCCTGTAGAACAAAAGTCACTTAGGGTTTTCGCACGTTTCGCACACGTTCCGCACAAGTAAGTTACGTGTTAAACACTTGTGTAGACTGCCTTAACATCTCTGGCTGCATGGCNTATCGTTGTATTGAAATCCATAAAAAACAATTACTACATATTGAAAATAACGATATCTTCAAAGCGTTTTAGACCTTATTTATAATTCAAACTTAACAAAAAAAAAATTTTTTGAAATTTTGTAAATATTTTAAGAAAGCACGATAAGTAATGATTGTTTAGTACTACATCTCGACGTATGCGTGGAAGACTATCACAGGGTGACGTCACGCTGTGATTGTCTTTCACGCACACGTCGATACATTACTCTTGATTTACTATTAACCTAAGTATAGTTTTTTTTTAAACTGTATGATTTTGTTACCCTTTTCTGATTTAAATTAGTATTTGCCATTCATATATTTTATCCTTGGCATTGATAAACCATACTTCTTTCTCACTCTTCTCTCTTCAGACTTTTTTTTCTCATCATATAGTCAAATGCAAATGGAGCTCTAGTACAAATTGCTTTAAAGTGGCTTAGAAACTATCCAATAATTCTAATAAAATAATTATGGAGGCAGACAATAATATTTTCAAACCTTTTATCTGTTGAACAATGCTTCGGCCAAGTTTAAATTGCAATTTCTTAGGATAAGGGATAATAAGAGTGATAGTTCAAATACTGAGCCAAATGAGTTTGTTTCCGGTATTAAATAGTGATAATTGATCCATCACTCTTCATGACCAGTTTTATATCAAGATAGTTATTGTATTACTAACTACCACGTGAACTGTTTATTTAGAATAACTGTCTAATTTTTGAAATATTGATAAAGAAGTTAATAAGATTAAACCAAGATCATTTTGACATTTTTCTTCTAGGAGTCTCATCGCCAAATCACACAACATGGGGCTAGTGGTACTGTCCCTGGCCAAACCTAAAGTTTGTTTATGAAATTAATTATTAATTCTTAAAAATTTTGTATTTAACACCAGTGAGACACCCTTACAAAATTAACTGTATGAAAGATTAGATTTCTATCGTGAGTCTTTCTACCTAGCTTTAATAGCTTTTTTGAAAATGTTTTCACCCATAATAGTAAATATGCTAACAGCAGTTAAATTAAATACTGTTAAATCAGAAGATAAAAAAATATTGGTTAGTCTAATACTATATGCCATTTAGTAAAAAAAAATTTGTTTCATTAGTGGTCTTCAAGAATTTGTCAATCGTCTTCAAAATTATATTTTAAATTGCATCAATGTTTACGGCTTTGTTATGTATTTCACCCCATTGAAGCATTTTTAAAGAATTCAAATGCAAAACGAAAGCTTATCACGCTAGTAAAATTGAATGATTCAAAAAATTTTAAAATATTTAAAACCTTGTCTGTGATAGAGACGTATAAAAAATTAGAAAGCCACTTGACATCAAGATAAGTGTTGTTATGAATGCAGTTACCAATGATCTCATATTAGGGCATTGAATTGCAGTGCGCTCATTAGTCGGTATCTTTCTATGTTTAATATGTTTTCTATTTGCTAGAAAACTAAAGTTTTCTTGAAAAAATAACATAAGTGAGAAAATAACGTAAATAAGAAGAACAAGGACTAAGCTGTTCATATATTTATTGATATGTACGTGATGTTGATTCAACTATACAATAGGTAGTCTTTATTAAGTCTTAATTTAATAAGAGTAACATCAGAGGAAAAAGTAATGTGTTTTTTTCCTAGGAGGTATAAAGTTATCTTTTTTTTCTGTGCTGCGTCAAAATTTGCGAAATTAAATCATTATTTTTCTATGAATAAATTTTAGGTATTTTGGGACTATATTACTATGTTCGTTTTTTTTCTTAGTAACTTAAATATTAAGTCTATGGATTTTTAAAGATATTTTTAATAAATTTTTATGTCAGCAATTTTATTATTAAAAATATTGATTTTCCATTCCATAGAAATTTCTACAATTTTGTACTTTTCAAGCTTTCTGTCAAATTCTAATTTGTTCAAATTTTTTTAACTATTACAAATGTGACTTGGTATTGAGTCACGAATTCGGAATTTAACAAGGAACCGGCAATGTCATTTCAAATCTTTGAGCTTCTTTTGTAAACGAAATAATTTGAAAAATGGAAAACTACTGTCATCCCCAAATTGCTCTGCAATTTGTTGCAGTATGCAAGAAATGGCAAGGTAGCTCCTTCGTTGTCAAATAGTAAGGACAGTAAAGACAATCTAATATTGCTGTAATGAGAGCAGACTTTACTCATAAAACAATTGTAGACGCAGATAGTAATACTGTCAAACTTTTTCAATGTTAAACAAGGATTCAGCCCACATAGAACAATTTTAAGGCCCTAGTTAGTTCAAATTAAAACGATTACACTGTTGGAAAACAAAAATTTTTTTTACCTAAAAAAGCACTAGAAAAACTTTTTACTCACAATTGATCACACTACAAGTGACGTTAGCACCATCTATGATATTTTATCAGCACCTACAAATATAATGTTTTGAGTTGCACTTTTATAGTATTGAATAGTAAAAAATGTCTAAATGCTCTTGGTTTTAAAATACTATGTCCGCCCTCGGGTGGTTTTGGGAGGCTAGTACTTCCTCGAGCAAAAAAGCAGTTTTCCGATACTCGTTCGAAAAGTCTTCTTTACGAACCTCATTACGGACCTCGCCTTCGGCTCGGGCCGCAAACCTCTCGGTTCGCAAACAAAGACTTTTTAAGCTCGTAGGAAAACTACTATTTTATAACAGGTACATTGATGATACGTTAACATTTGTCTTAACACACCTAATTAACTACACTCCCAATGTTTTAAATAAATTAAAGAACGACTCACAATTCACATCTAAAGTAGTAAGTAATAAGAAAATTTATTTTATTGCCCTTACAGCTAATGAAAGAGAGTGATCTATTAAGGCAATGATCATCAGTTGGTACTGAAATTAATGCATTTGGCAGATATTTAAACTATCACTCTCATAATCCCTTGCCCTAAAAAATTTCAATTACTAATACGTTAGTTAATCGTAGTGATATATTGTGCAAATTAAGATTTCACCAAGAAAATTTTGAAATATCAAAAAAATGTCTGTAAGCTAACAATGTCCCTCTTTGATTTATCGATAACCATTGAAATAAAAAAGTATTTAAAATGAACTATTTTTGTAACAAAATAAATCTGGGTCGGGAGAAAAAAAGCACAAAAAAAAGTTTTACTTTTTTTTAAATATCTTGTGTCGGTCATTAAAAATACTTTTTATTAGAACAAAATGGGTGATGATTTTGGAGATATCGAGAGATTCACCAAATTTATGAAATTATGGAAAGACCTATTTATTTACAAATTAGCATTAATACAACATTTAGAAAATGCACTACCCTTACAAACCTTTGACTTTGCTAATTTAAAAGTTTTAGACGTTGAGAATAACAAGTTTGACAATCTATTCTTAGAAATGCTTTATATACATATTGTCTGCAAAAATTACCTCTTATAAACATTATGTGTACTTATTTTATCTAGGTTCTATGTAGAATGAAGTTTAAGTAATACAATAAAATTTTTAGGTTACCAGATAATGTTTCATTGGAAGAAGGAGCTCTTCTTGAACCTCTAGCTGTTGGTGTATATGCTTGCAAAAGAGCTAAAATTGAAGTTGGAGCTAACGTTTTGATCTTAGGGGCTGGTCCCATAGGTCTTGTAACCTTATTAGTTGCTAAGGCCAGAGGAGCTAGTACAGTTATTATTGCTGGTATTTTACTTGCAAAAAGCTTTTATAATGTACGTATAAAAGAGATGAGAAGCTTACAAGAAAATTTATTTCTTCTTTTAGATTTAAATGAAAGCAGAATAAATTTGGCAAAGCAACTAGGAGCAGACGATGTGTACTTAGTCAAAAAAGAATCAGAAGAGAATAAAAATGTCGAACAAATATGTAGACTATTTGATGAAAAACCGAGTATAACCATAGATGCTTGTGGATTTGAGTCGTCTATTCGTCTGGCAATACAAGTACGTACACACATTCCTCTTAGATTGGTATATATCTACCATTTATAGATTAGAGTAATGTTAATAAAGGTATCTGTCACTTATTTCCTATAATCTTGAGGAACCCTAAAAGTCACTCCTCTCTCCTCAAGTATGGCTCAATTATGTATGCTTCTCTAGGAATGTACCCTATTATTTTTCAGATTAATCCGTTTTAGAACAGACTTGCATTTTTTTTATGGCCCCCATAAAAAAAGCTATAGTGTTTGCCACATACCACAGGCTAGCTCCAAGCTTTACACAGGAAAATAAAAAAAGGTAAACTTTTCCTTACCTAATTGAACCCGAGCATTTTTCTTATCGTTGTATTGAAATCCATAAAAAACAATTACTACATATTGAAAATAACGATATCTTCAAAGCGTTTTAGACCTTATTTATAATTCAAACTTAACAAAAAAAAAATTTTTTGAAATTTTGTAAATATTTTAAGAAACAATTATTTTGTTCTGAAATAAAAACTTTGTGTATTTTAAAAACAATATTCTTAATTCTTTGAAGTCACGCTGTTAAATTCATTTTGTTATTCTTATTTATTCTTTCAACGTAACCACAGAGAAAAATTAAAGGGTATGTTACTATTTCTTAACTAATATTTTTTTGTCTTGATATATCATCATGATATTGCATTAAGTTGTAATTAAAAATGTATGATGTAATAAGACAGCAGTTATTATTTATATTGTTTCTAGAGTCCCTACTTATCAACATAAATGGTGAACTTAACTAAGTGTAACCTAATAAGTGTCGTCATTATTTAACAATAGGAGAAATATTTAACATCGAATCATTTTTTTTAAAGCAACATATTGATTTTCATTTACTTAGTGAGTAAATATAAGTATAATCAATAATCGTTTAGGGCTGACAAATCTAAACTTTTAAATTGTTGTGTATTGGAAATGTAATTATCAGTAAGAATTACGTGCTTAGTCTCTAGCTATATGTCCGACATTTGACTATATTGTCATTGGCCGGCAAATGACAAGTTTACAAGGTAACTCTAGCACCTTAGTTTCTCCCGAATGATAAGATATTTTTAATTCAAACCTTGTAAAAAACAATTTCAAGTGCGATTACTTTTTTCCTCTCTAAGTAAGACACTAAACAATAAAGCGCCACTTTACTGAAAAACATGTAAAATCTCATCTTACAGAGTGCCTGCTCTCCCATTTTTAATTGCACACACTTGCTACAAACGAGTCTGTTTTGAGCTTTCTTATGATATCTGTTTTTTATATTAAACCTTGCGCTTCAACATGCTTGTATTTAATTTTCTCTAGGAGGCATGAAAAAAAAGTAATTAAAAAAATAATAACATGTTCTATACGGAAAATCACTGGCACCTTAAGGTGGGGTGCTACAAGCACAAGAGGCCTTTATATTATCGGTAAGCTCCAACTGTAAACAGATTTCCTCACATTATCCAGACATGTAAATATTGTGATAGACAGTAATACACCATGAAACACAAGGTGATTTAGTTTTCAAGATGTTTATTGTTAAAGCAAATTTCACAAATGATACGTCACTATAAAAAAAAAAAAGTAACCGAGAGAACTGGGATGAGAACCAAATGTCAATCAAAAATCAAAACTATAATTCGAAAGTTACAACTTTAATGTGATTTACAATATTTGTAATAAGTATACGTGTACATGTGCTCATGATTTTTTTATTTTAATTTTATGTGAACTCAATAATTAAAAAAAAATTCTTTTTCATACTTCATTTTACGAATTACCCTAACAAATCATCGTGATTTATCAGGCTAGCGGTACTTCAGCCCCTGATAAAAATACCTCACTATAAGGCACTACTAGTGGTTTTCAGAGGTTTGGTTGGTGTCGTTCTTAAACAAAAATTTTTATTAGAAATTCATACGACCAATAGTATACAAGCGAATGTTGATGCATCTAAACCATTGTATCAAGAAGTGCATATGCATAGATGGTGAAACTTTTAGTATAAGCACTCTATATCCTCCATACATACGCTTTTTCAAAGTCCGATATACTTTAGACTCATAATAACACACCACATAGTTTCTTTTTCAAGAAAATTTTCTCAAGAAATAAATAAGAAAAATGTCCTCCCTGGGTGCAGATCGAACACACAACCTCCTGTTTACTAGACAGTTGCTCTGCCACTTGAGTGACTAAGAAGCTGTATATTCACTCGCACCGTAAGTTTAGATAAGTTTCTCATTTTTAATTTTTAGAACTGTCTTTCACCTAAGCTCAATAAAGTAGTTATGTGACTCTAATGTTTTTCGGTAAATTAGAAATTTATACGACCAATGGTATACAAGCGAATGTTGATACATTTTAATCATTATATGAAGCAGCGTTGGCCGCGACAGTCAAAAATTTGCTGCCAACCGCAACTTTCAGTCCCTTCAGAGCGCTTCTTTATCAGCACTACCGATGGCCAAGCTGTAAACTATTTCTGTGAATTGTATATGGATACATACAAATGTGCATGTACATCAGCGATAGTTCACAGCTGGGATGATATGATTCTTATAAAATTTGTGTATGTCGTTATAACTACATTCTCTTTTTCTTAAATAACGATTTATATGGTTAATTTTACTTTAAAATGAAAGCTGTAATTAGCTGTTAAAGAAAAAGTGTCCGTCATTCCCTGGTCTTCCCTACTGTTTCCCATACCAAACAGATATGCATGGCAGTTCAACTGCTGACATGTTTTTCTATCCATAGAATAAAGGCAGAATAAATGACAGGCATATCTTTGTGTTGTATAGAAACAGTAAGTTTACAGAATGTAATAAATAAGTACTTTACTAACACATAGGGTTAAACTGGACTGTTGGCCACAACAGAACTACCATAAATTGTGGTAAGCTAAAGCGGCGACTGGATGCACTGTCAGGGAGATAAATAGGTGTTACATCTGTTGTACGGACAAGGGAAAATTGTTTTATCACTGCTTCCTTCAAAAAACGTAGTAAAATTCATAATGAAAGAGTTACTTAATTTTTAAAACTATTTTTTAAAACAAAGATTGGTTGCACAAAATTAGCAACGTATGCAAAGAAACTTATTTATAAAATACATTTAGGTGCAACTTTTTGAAACAAAATGCAGATTTAAAAATTAAATATTTTATGAATGCCTAAAAACAATATAAGCAGTATAGCTTTTACTGAAATTAATCACAGTATTCAAATGCTTGTAGATGATTAAGTACCAAGATACGAAATATTTCAAAAAAAAATTTGAAGGATCTTTTCAACTGAACACTTTTAACACTTAGTTTGCTTTGTCACTACTGTTCTATTTTACGTTAGACGTGTTACACAAATAATCTTTGATAAGCATTCACCAGTATAAAAATTATAGAAGTTGGCAGGGCAGAGTTGTTTTAGCATTTGAACAAAAAATATACTTATTATTTGTTGATAATAAACGTTGAGACTGAAATTGCAATTAGTTTATTAAGAACTAATTAATATTTTTGTTTTATGGTTAAATGGTTTATTTCTTAAGAAACAATTTAGAATAGCTATTAGATTTTTTTTTAACTGGGTAGATTATTTAAATTTAATCTAGCTTGGAGATTGTATGAAGTAAATACAAATCGATCTCTAAACAAAATAGTTCTTTAAGCTTAAAGCAAGCAAAGTTTTGTATTTTAGTAAACAATTCATTACTGGTGGCCATCAGAGGTCCTGTCAGCACATCTGTAAGTTTTTATTCAAAATGATTAAGGTTTGTGTTAACACGTTAAGGAACAAGTTTCAATTGTTACATATAATAACAAAATAACAAGTCTTGAATAAAAAAAAAAGAAGCTCACCTGAGATAATCAAGGTCATTTCATAAATTTATTCATGTAAAGAAGCTGTAGTGTCATTCCCGACAGCAGTAGGAGGTTCCGAAAAAAGTTTTATTTTAACGAATAGCATTTGAACTTTTAAGCACCCCTTAGAAGCTTTGAAGCTGTGTGAACTTTAACTTAGGCCATTAGCAGCAGAATAGTCAGCTCTTTTTACTATTTAATGAAAGATGAATAGATAGTCAGACTGTTAGAAAATTTTTCTCTGTTATTTTAGGGACTTACAATGACGATGTAAATGTAAGGACATTTATAGTCCAAGGCTATGCATTTTTCAAAGACGTTCTTTATATAACCTAAGATTTTTGATATTTAATAGTCAAGACAACCAGCTTAATAAGATTTTAGATGAGAGCACATATTACGCCAAATGTAACTTTACATAAGTACTTGTAGATAGCCACTGTTAATAACATAGTATAACTTAAGGAATCTCAATAAAAAAAAAGACAAGTTACATCAACGCAAGATAAAACGTAAGTAGTGACATAATCCGAATCTGGTATGATCGTTGTAAATATTACACACTATAAAATTGAACATAGTGAGCAATATTGACGAGGACATGCTATATTAGTTTCTTAGCTAGAAGCTTAAGTGAAATTTTCTAATCAGTACAGTGCAAATGCATCATAAGATACGCTTACAAAGCTAAGAGCAGCATTAGACATCTTTTTGCGCTACCACTCCTTGGGAAACCGATAACGGCTATGTAGTGAATGGCGGGTGACATTGGGTGTGCGTAGCATCAGTTGTAACAGTTAGATCGGAAAGTTAGCATCGCGCGCACTTGTGTCGGAAAGTCTTAAGATGGCTGAATATGTCAAGATACTACTCACATGAGCTTAAACCCTTTATTGTGACCTAACAGCAAGTAAATAGGTTTTTTCTGACAAGCAATAGTCTCCTTACTGATGGGTTAACAACTCTCAGTCAATGGCATCACGACAAAGAAGGTAAAGTAAGATTGGTGTTTATTACAGATTTTAACGTGAATATCGATGACCAATCACTTGAGTGATTTCTCCAAGAGATAACAGAGATTAAACAGAAGACCAGTGGGCTTATTAATGCTTCGATAATATTGCTTGGACACTTTT